ACTATTTTTATCATGAAACGGCTCACGAGGACATTGGAACATAAAGATCTTGACGGTACCAGATGCTGTCGAGCGAGAACTATCGACTGTATATCATTTCGTTGTAACTAACTATTGATTAAAAGTACTTGTCTGATACGGCATAGTTACGGCGCGTATACTGCGGTCGAATACGCCGCATTTACGTAACACCGTAAACGAAAACTGTATACGGCGCCGTATTATACCCTAATTGAACTGTAATACGGTGCACCGTATACGGTCACTGCTTCCAGGCCGAAAATCACCGTAATTTAGCCGAATACGGTCGTTTACGTACCGTATTGTTCGACCTGGGTATAGCTGTATTTTCCTCTGAAAACGACGAAATCGCATGAAGTTTTCTCTTCATTTCTTGTTCCCGCATGCACAATTGTTTCCCAAGTCAGAATCTGATGATGCTTGTTCTATGTTTTCTGTGTTTTGTATGTATATTTGTTATTCGTTTGAACTGTGGCTGATGTGTTTGTTTTTAATATTGATATTGTATCAGATACTAACATCTATTTGAGAAAAATAGATTGATCGAACAAACAGAATGATGGCACATCGGCCCAATAAGAAAATTAGCATATTTCGCACTAAAATTAAATACTAAATACTGATTCTTCCTCGCCACTTACTTTGAGGTTTTTAGTTCAAATAAGTCTACCATGGATAATCAAACTCTTGACGTGCTGTTTCCCAGTCAGTCATAGTCATTCCGAAAACTGCAGGATTCCAAAATTTACGCGTTTTAGTGAATGTAGCATATCAACACGCAAGAAACGACGAAGTCGATACAAACAACAGGCATGAACATGCGACTAAAGCCTCTATTTCCATGACAACGTGCGCTTTCTGCGTGTTATTTTTCCCACACTTCCAACTTCTTACGTGTTTGTCTCACAAACTCGCTAAACGCATAAAATTTTTCGTAAATTTTGGAATCCTACATTTTTCGAAATGATTATGACTGGCTGGGTATAAATCTCTCCTAAGGTCTCTGATCTCTGATAAAAGAAGTATTTCAACGCGACGCGTCATGTTTCAGTGATTTCGTCAAACTATCAGACGAACATTGGTATGAAATCCGGAAAAATATGTTCACTTTACGGCAATGAATGTGACCGTCGTGTGCGTTTCATCTTTCAAGTTTTCTTATCTCCCCAGTTAAATATAATAACACATTTATACAAAAAAATTAAATGAGAAAGAACTTCTCGTAACTAAATAAACGTGAATGAAAATAAATATGTACATAAAACAACGCCATTCTAAATGAAGAATTAATTGTTCGAGAAAAAAAATACAAACACTACAGTAAGAGAAATATATAAAATAATTTAGAATGAGAAGAGACTATCTTTCAAATGGATCATTTAAATGTTTACCGGTTTGCATTTGAATTAATTGCTGAATGCGTTGAACACAGATAAGATCGCGAAACCATGAATATTTTAATAATTGTGACATATCAGGACGTGCATAAGTATTCCTTTCTAATGTTTTATTAAGAATGTCTTTTAAATCTTTTTTATTATTCGAAATGGAACTAATCGAACGAATAGTACGTAAACGAAAAATACTTTCGCCTACATAAGCGTTCAACAATGTCATTCCAAATGACCATACCTAAAAAGAGAAAAGAATAAAAATAGGTGAAACGAGAGAAGATATAAGATGACACATACATCAGCATTTGTCGAATGTCCTGTTTGAAACTGAACTTCTGGAGCCATATAGGTTTGTGTACCTGCTATAGTCGTATTTAAATATTTTGATGATGCATAAACATATTTAGCTACACCAAAATCACTTAATTTTGCTACTGTTTCTTTATCATTTGACATGAGAAGAATATTTGCCGGTTTAATGTCTCGATGAACCTGAAACGGAGTAGAATTATAAAGTTAACATAATGGTTGTTCGAAAAGAGTGAGAACTCATTCTTTTTATCCTTTTCACTATTTGATACTCATTATTCTCTTCTCACTATGCTGTGCTCTAGAGATGTGCAACCTGACCCGTACCCAACTCGATCCGAAGGTTGAGTATGGGTACGAAGTTGTCGGGTACGGATAGAGCAGTTACGGGTATGGGTTCTATTTTTTCTAATTTACCCGAAAACTGGAAGGTTCTAGTAGAAAACTCGTAATATTTTAGTGGAAAAATACAGGAGTTTAGTTAAAATATATGAAGGCTTAAAAAAGAATTACTTGAGAACGTAATGATAATTTGACATCTTCAGCCGAAAAACAAAAGTTTTTAGCTGGAAAACAAAAAGGAGAACATTTTTAGGCATAAGCCGGATATGGACGGAAAAAAAAATTGGGGGTCGGGTACGGCTACGAAAATAGTACCCGTGCATATCTCTACTGTGCTGTGTTAACGTTAAAGAATAGGAACTATGATTCCATGTCTCTTCGAACACACAGAGAATTTTCTTGATATTATAACATCAGAAATAATAAGACAAATAAATTATCAATTAAAAAAAGATTTTACTTACAATTTTTAATCGATGTAAATAGGATAGTGCAAAGGCAATTTGGTAGAAAATAAATTTGACTTCTTCGTCATCCATTATATAACTATTATTAATTCTATCGTACAAAGAACCACCACTGGCGTATTCCATTTCCACAAATAAGTCAAATCGTTCATGATAAACTTCATATCGTCTGAGAATGCATGGATGATCAACACTCCCATGAATACTAACTTCACGATACAAATATTTACTGAATCCTGGACCAATTTGTTTTTCACATTGCTCTTTATTAATTATTTTAATTGCACGACGTGTATGGGTCATATGTGATAATGCTAAAGATACCGCGGCAAAACTTCCTCTACCCAATAGACCACATTTCATATATCGTTCATCTAAATTAATTACATTAAACAAACCATCTAATCGAATGAAACGATAAACTTTATTTTCATTCAATGCCAATGAGCTAAAGCAGATAATCGAACAGTTATAATCGTTTAAGCAGAAGGTATTTGTTATTTACACGACATGTTCATTGTTTCGTAATAGAATTTTTCTTTTATGAACATGTTGACCATCAACAAAACATCCATTTCGACTAATATCATGAAATGTGATCCGACGATTACTTCCATTTTCAATTGATTCCAAAATAAAATGTTTTGAACTCAGATGAACAAAGTATTCATGTTGTTTCAATTCGACACTATTCAATGATACATCACATTCGGCTGGATTACGGCCAAATATATAAGAGGGTTTTGATAATAATATTTTTGGATAAATCGGTAACAATGGTTCTAGATAGCCCCATGATGATGATGACGAACAAGATTGAACTGCCATTTAACAAACTAAAAAGAAGTGAAATAGACTTCATTGCGTTTTGCTCTGTTCGTACTATATTTTAACCGAAGTTACCCAGTTCTGAAGAGAATAGTATTAGATTCACGACTGAGTGTACTTTTGAGCGTCTTAAAACTTAAAAAAGTACATGAAGAGAACTGTTCCCTAAATCAGATAAATATTAATCAAACTTAGACTTAATTTTAGTTCAAATTGAGGTTAGCATCACCGCATTCAACTCAAGATGGATTTTCCAGACAGGAGTGCAGAGAGCTTGTTAACTGACCCGAAATTGTCCAAAGCATACTAGTTGATATCCTTCCCTGCTTGTTTTCGAAAATATTTTGAACAGAATAAACTAATGAAGCATCAACTAATTACAAAAGATGTTGGATAGGTTAGGGTTCTTTACCTTTATACATAAATATCTATTTTGTGAGAAGGTAACACAGGTGTTGTTTATATTTCATATATGGACTTGTACTTTTTTGTTTCTTCGAAGTCATGTGTTTTCCTACAAGTCGCAAAGAGAGCGAAGCGCAAAGCTCTTGATAAGTATTTTATCTAAGTTTCGTTTTTCGGGTGGGCGGTTGAAATTTTTGGAGGAGCTGTTGGCTAAAACATTTTTGCTAAAACGAAAGCAGTTGTTCATTTTCAGGTGAACGCCGCCCATTCGGTCTACCCACTAGATAAATCAGTACTCTTGATATGAAACTGTTATTTATTAGTAAATCTTACTCACAAATCTCCAGCACTGAATAAGAACGATACATGCGCGGTAGAGATACATACTTCACTTCATAAATAAAATGATTTTAACTCTATAACAGACAGTTCACAAAGTCAAGCTAGCTTTCCAAATGCTGTTATGTAAAAGATGTAAACATAACTTACGAAACAGATTGAGCAACGTTCTACAGCATTTGTTTATTGTTCAAAATACGACAGACTTTTTTTTCCTTTTGTGTGATAGCATGTTAAATGATAGACAGAAATATTTTTAAACACGATTCATCCTATTCTTTGATACTACTGGACTGCACATTTGTATACTTTCCATTTTTCTTTTCTGTTTCGTCTCTTTTGATCATATATTTTTTGGATATACATCATAACATCTTCACAATTCAAAGAATGTTTTGAAATATTCTACAAAGTTGAAACAAATTTATTAATAATAATTTTTCATGAACGGACAAATTCAAAACAATGAACAACAGAACACACTGCTCTTTATGCTTTTTATTGATAAAACCAGTGAACGCTATCCATATAACGAAAAACATTAAAATTCTACTCTAAGATGTAGACAAAGAACCCGTTCATCTCAACTCTAGGTAAAAGTAAATTCCCAAAATGTATCATTGACAAGCAGGTGATTATTATTTAGACTGACTTATTGTTTTCATTTACACCTAAAAAATAGCATGCTCTGCAAAACAATGAGTTTTTATAATTATGGTGTTTTTTTAATATAGTCAGGAAAATAAAAGCTAAAATAATAATAAAATAAACTACTGTACCACCAGTATGCAGATAGATAATGAAGCAAGATCATACAATATATTGATCATTTTGAAATTCAGTAATGCTGAGTTAATCATAACGAACAAGTTAGACGATGTATTTCTTTTGAAAGTTGCGTAGTCAGAGAGATAAATATTAGCATAATAGTCCATAAGATGATGTTTTAGATTTTTGATCAAGCTGCTTTCTCCAGAAATTTATTTTTTCTGCTGAATTTATGCATTTTTTAGTAGATCTTTTGTTGTGTCAAAATTTTCGGTTTTAGTGTATATTCAAATCAATCAAAAACGTTTTTAGTCAAGAAATTCGAGAAGCATCTCATTCATTTATCCACAAGATTTAATAATATGATGTTTATTAAGATCAAAAATGTTATCCATGCTAAATTTAAATTAAGAGGGGGGGGGGGGGGGAAACTACCCCCATTTTAATTTTTACGTTAGCGGTGCCCTTTTTTATTGGAATATACCAATTTTTTTTTTGTCATTTTTAAANTTCTGAAGTTTTCTCAGCTTACTTACATTATTTAGCTGAGAAAAAAATTAATTACTTAAAAAAAATGTTGTTAAATTTTTGAGCACGGGGTTATTATTACGAAATTTCCGTCTATTCTCCATTCATGATGAAAACTTAGTTCTTACGTAGATCGATGGAGAAATGTGTGGAGAATATTTACGACGAGAAAACATGTATAAATTTTTATTCGTCCCTTCCTATTATTGACTAATTAGTACAAATTAACGTTAATTTAGCCTACTCTACTAGCATAAAGTCTTATTTGTAAAATAGCAGCGCAACAAAAAAATTCAAACCGTACCTCATCTGACAGAGAATT